TTGCAATTTATAGCAGCCAAATTACTCTAAATGCATTCTCTTTTTTTTAACTGTGGAGAGAAAAACCCAGAGGACCCAGAGACAAATCCATGCGACGACGGGGAGAGAGGCAGAGAGACACGCAAAGTTCAAAAATATACAGCAGCAGGCGTCACCTGTTGGGATCGAACCCACAACCTCCTGCAGACCAGGCGAGGGAGTTCACATCTGGCCACCGCGGAACCCCCAAGCGAAAAAAAAACCTATTAGCGACAAAATTAGACACTTTATTTCGTAAAGAGATTACAATTTCACGTTAATAGAGAAAAATAACAACGTGTTGCCGGACTAACGGCTGTGGACTGGGTGACGTGGCCACGGGGGGGGCAGCTGCCACCAGGGGAGCCCCTAGGCGAACGAACGACGAGCGGTATTTATTTGTAACTATTTTTATTTTTTCATTTTACCAGCCAAGGTCCTCCTGAGCTTTGTCGTGGCTTATATCATCGCCACGTGTAGATCTGTCGCAGCCCAGGAACGATACACGGGGAGAGAGACTTGCAACCTCCAAATTCACAAGCGACAGGGAGTCGGGGTTGAACCCACGACCTCCTGTATACCGGGCGAGATAGTTAACATTCGGCAACCGCGGCGCCCTGTGGGTGTGTCGGATGTTGATCGATGTCAGGCACTTGGCATTTGACGGCAGCAATTCAGCAAACGCCACTCTCCGTCCTCATCACGATGTTAACCGCATTCTAACGTAATGGATTTTTTTTTGTTAAAGAGAATGTTTTTTTTAAACTGGTCGACTGCCTCCCACACCTATGCCGCGATTTTCCAATGAATTGATTAATGTATACTTGTTATATTGGGGTCGGATCGCTTAGAGTTAAAAGGTGTGTGTCGTACACCCTTCTCCACCCGACGTGACAGAACATCGGTGGGGAGTGCTGTGGGAGAGCGGTCCACATCACGGCCCACGCCATCGCACGATTTGAAATCGGATGTCCTGGCACCTCGGCTGACGACGGCAGCCTCGCCACTTCACTCGTTGGCTGTGGTCGGGTGGTGGTGGAGGAGTGGAGTACGACACAAGACAAAGACAAAGATCCCCCCGTGTAGCCTTAGCAGACTGTTGGGGCAAGTGCTTTTAGCGAGTAGCACCTGTGGAGGCCAGCACGGCACACGAGGAGGTGGGTGGCCAGCACCACACCCGGCCGCCTTTGTCTCCCCAGCGGCGATGTTAACTACACACCGCACCAGGTTCTCATTTGAGGCTGAGTCGACCTAGGGGAGGCCCAGGAGCGGTTGAGATAATCGTCACTGGTGTTGTCCGTGAGTGTGAATCGAACCCGGGCCGCCGGGTTCACAGCGCAGCGTGCTAACCGCTACACTACCGCTCCCCACGACACACACACACAGACACACACACAGACACACAGACACACACACAGACACACAGACACACACACACACACACAGACACACACACAGACACACAGACACACACACAGACACACAGACACACACACACAGACACATAGACACACACACAGACACATACACACACAGACACACATACAGACACATACACACGGACACACACACTAACACACACACAGACACACAGACAAACACACACAGACACACAGACACACACACACAGACACACACACACACACAGACACACACACAGACACACACACACACACAGACACACACACAGACACACACACACACACGTGCCCGCACACGTTTAACCGCACACGATCTGACGCAAAATAATAGAAAGAAAAAAAAGTTGCGAACCATAATAGCGGTCGCAGAAAGTTCCCACGTGTCCACGTTCCCACCAACTCGTCACCGCGCGATCCAGCAACCCACTCCGTCGTGGGGCGTGGGACCGGTCCCCCGGTGCCGAGTTGGCCAGGAGGTGGCGGTACAGCAAGCGGGACGCACCAAGGTTCCCACCATGGAGGTGTTTTTTAAATCCTTTATATTAAGTTCGCTTGCTTGCTTGCGTGCTTGCGTGCTCGCTTGCTTGCTTACGACCGTGCAAATCTTTCGGTCGTTTTTTAACCCACTTCCCGTGATCCAATCGAGCTGACATTTTGCACACAGACTCGTTGTGCGAGACAATTAATGTTCGTGAAAAAATTTTCTCCAAAATTTTACACTGTTTAGGGAAAACAAATTAAATATTAATTACCAATTGCTTAATACTGGCAGACAATCATCTGACCCATAGGTGGCAGCCATCTCAAGCCAGAGGACGAGAGGACTCTAGCCGCCACGCATATAAAGGATTTAGAGTGAAAAACTTTGTTTTTACGGGTTATACTTATTTTTCTCTCCCTGTGGGGGTGGTGAGGTTTGTCGCGCGGACAAACGGTGGCCAATTCGTGGCCAACTGCGTGAGTCGTAGGGCGCACAGCGCACGTGAGTTGGAGAAGTTCTACCCACTGCAACGTTTGGGGCCGTCCATAAATGACGTCACGCACCTAGGGAGGGGTCAGACATTTGTGACGATGCGTGACGAGGGCGGGGGGGTGTTTGAGAAATGTGACGTCACATCAAAATGCACAACTTTAATTAAATATAGACAACACGTTCTACTTAATTAAATAGACTTTTTGATAAATGTTTTCTCCTGCAACATCAGAGTGCAGCGCCACACTAAATACGCACTACAATGACACTAGTTTAGAGCGATTTGAAGCATTTTTTCTTTTCTTTTGTGGGGGGGGGGGGGGGGGCAGAGCTTTGTGACGTCACATTTGAGGGGGGTCTGACTTTTTGTAACGCCGTGTGACGAGGGGGGGGGGGGGGTCAAAATCGTCAAAAATCACGTGATGTCATTTATGAACGGCCCCTTTGCACTTCGAGGTACTGCTCATTACAATCAGCGACATCACGAGGCGGACAGCCACGGAGTCGTGGGGGACATGCTCCCTCTCCTCTCTCGATCTTAAATAGACGGGGGGGGGAGGGGGGTGGTGGGATCGATGTGATGTCATCACCTGTGAGCCGATCAGGTGCGCAGGTCAGAGGAGGGGGGGTAATGAATGTATAATTATTGATAATATTGGTCGCGAAAGCTTTCGTGTTAAAACCCCAAAACACTAGGCTGCGTTAAAGTGTCTGAAGGTGCTGTGGACTTTTCAGTGTCACGTGTCCCTGGGGCTGCGAGGGTTTGTAAGGGGGGGGGGCAGAAGGGGGGGCAGAGGGGGGGGGCAGAGGGGGGGGGCAGAGGGAGGGGACAGAGTGGGGGGGGGTGGCGGTGGTGCAGTGGTTAGCGCGCGGTGCAACGAACCGCTGGCAAACTGAGTTCGATTCCCGCTCACGACCAATAACATTGGTAGCGAATATTAGAACCGGTCCTGCCCCACCCCACCTAGGTCGACTCAGCCTCAAATGAATACCTCCCGCGGTGTGTCAATAACATCAACAGTGAGGAGACAAAGGCGGCCAGCCACACCTCCATAGGTGCAACTCGCTAACAGCACTTGCCCCAACAGCCTGTTAAGGCTACACGGGCGATCTTTGTCTTTGTCATAATTGGTCAGACGTTACGATCCAGGTAGAGATAGAGGCGCAGCCCTGCAATTGCTCACTGACACCCCTTATCCATCGCTCTCTCTCTCTCGAGGGTATTTGGCCTACTCTTCCACGATGGAATCGGTGGGAGCCACGCACACTTCACCCCACCAGCACGCGACTCGCTGTGGCTGTGTGCCCCCTGCATCAACACTGCTGAGTGCACAGAGGCGGCGGTGAGGGTGGTGTGTGGGGGGGTGGTGGAAGTGAGAAACCTGCAACATCGTTTCAGGGAATCGATCCGGCGGAGCCCCCTGGAGTGCGAGGTCGTGGCGCGGAGCTTCTGACTGGCCGAGTCACGAATTTTTTTAATTCGAGTTTGTTGGGATCGAGTTAAGAAGACCGCTTGGGTTATTCGGGACCAAAAGCGGCCCGAATGCGTCCCAAAACTCCTTGGCTTTGTGAAGCTAAGGGGTCGTCCATAAATGACGTCACGCGATTTTGGACGATTTTTGACCCCCCCCCCCCTCATCGTCACACGGCGCCACCAAAAGTCAGAACCCCCCCTCAAATATGACGTCACAAAGCTCTGCCCCCCCCCCGGCCCCCCAAAAAATAAATCATCCTTCAAATCGCTTTAAACCATTGTCATTATAGTGCGTATTTAATATGCCGCTGCACTCTGATGTTGTAGGAGAACACATTTATCAAAAAGTTTATTAAATTAAGTAGAACGTGTTGTCTATATTTATTTGAAGCTGCGCAATTTGATGTGACATCGCATTTCTCAAACGCCCCACCCCCCCTCGTCACACGTCGTCACAAATATCTGACCCCCCCCCCCAGGTGCGTGACGTCATTTATGGACGGCCCCTAAAGCGGGAATTTGGGACTGGCCGTGTGCTTGGATGGGCCACCATCACCACCACCCACACCGCGCGTAGGTGTCAGAGCTGTCGAGGACGACTGCGAGAACTGATTTAGTGCAGCAAGAGACACGGGTTTGCTGACTTCCATCTATGCCCCACCTTCAACCCGAAGACTTGACCAGCGTGGTGAAGTATGGTCAAAAATCCAAGCCTCCCTCCCCCCCGTGCCACACACCTCCATCCAGGAGTAGAACCAGGACTCACTCTGCGGTGGATTGAACACGGCTGGGATGTGTAACGCAGTTGGGTGGTGCACACGTAATCCGGGGGAGAATCGTGTACATATTTCTCCAAGTGAACAATGAGACACGGGGGGAGGGGAGGTGTTGGGTGGATTGGGGGGTTATATTATAACTCAGTCGATCGTGGGCATGGTGCGTACGGTGATGATGATGATTTATGTCTGCGGTGTGGAAGCGACGTCGCCCCCCCACGCGCCTCCTGGCTTGCCTCCTTGGCCCGACCCACACGAGGCGATTGGTCCCCGAACGCACACGAAGAGGCGGGCCCGGGTTAGCCGGTCTCCCCCTCCCCTCTCAGCCACCACCACCACTACCACCACCACCAACCACCGCATTCCCTCTCCTCGGCACTGCCAGCAGCGATTCCTCCACCAGCACCACCGCCACCGCCATCCATCCATCCCACGCAACGATTTCTCTCTCTCTCCCATCGCCGGCGCGTCTCATCCGTCCGTCTAAAACCGCTCGGCCACTCCCGTGGCCACGCATCAGGCGAGAGACACAGACAGACAGAGAGAGACAGACACAGAGAGAGAGAGGAGTTTGGTGAGAAGTCGCAACTTTTTTGGAAGAGAAAAGAAGACATCGCTTCTTCTCCACCCATCCACCCCAAGACGGCATCTCGAGCGCAAAGTTGAACCGCCGGGCAAAAGGGATTTCTCGTGCGTCTTGCGGAGAAGGCGTAGGAGCCACCGGGGAGGCGAGAGAGAAGAGGGGAAAGGAGGAGGAGGAGGAGGTTCCCGTGTTGTTGCTGCTCCACCGAAGTGGAGCCGTTGTCTTAACACGGAGCAATGTGGGGCAGTGTGCCGATCACGGTGCATTGCAGGTGTCAGTAGGATTTCTCCTCCTGCACTTGGCTCGTTGTGACTCGCTCGCGGCAGCAGGCAGAGATGGCATAATCAGAGTTGAGCCGAGCTGAAGGAACTAAGCGGGATTCTTCAATTCTCCGTTAATCTGCTCGGATATTTAAAACGGAATATTTGCAAATCGGCTCTTAACGACATCATCGTTCGCCGACTTTTATAATCGCCGCTAATTGTAATTTTTCTTGTGATTGCGACCAGATATATATATTTAAATACGACACAAATTCGAGTGCACTCCGCTGGGTATTCGCGTGTGGCGGTGCATCGCGAGAGACGTTCTTGACGAGCGTCCGACTTGACAGGGAGTTCGCGAATCGGCGCAACTCCAGCGGCAACCGCATCAAGATCTGCAAACGGCAAGCAGCACCACCACCCACCACCACTACCACCATGTACATCATCTCCCGTTCGAGCGTCAAGTACAAGAGAAGACGAAGCTGTGATCCCGTCATGCGAGGCACCACGTTGACTACGACGACGATGACGATGATGCTGCTGGCGTCTGCCCTGGGACTCCTCTTGACACCGGGGATTACATCAGCCCAACAGGGATTAGGTGAGTGAGTGTGTGAGTGTGTGCACGTGTCTGTGTATGTGTCAGCGGTTAGCGCTACGCTGCGTTACGGAGCCCGCGACCCGTGTTCGATTCCTGATCACGGCCAACACCGGTGACGATTATCTGAACCGGTCCTGGGCCTCCCCTAGGTCGACTCAGCCTCAAATGAGTAACCTGGTGCGGTGTGTGAACACAGGCGACCGGGCGTGGTGCTGACCACCCACCCCCTCGTGTGCCGTGCCGGCCTTCATAGGTGCTGCTACTCGCTAACAGCACTTGCCCCAACAGTCTGTTAAGGCTACACGGGGGATCTTTGTCTTTGTCTCGTGTCGTACTCCACTGCTTCACCACCACCGCCCACGGATGAAGTGACCAGGCTGCCGTCGTCAGCCGAGGTGGCAGAAACCTCCGATTTGAGATCGTGAGATGCAAGGCCGTAGCCATGGAGTCAACATTGGGGGGGGCAAATCTTCCAGGGGGTCTGCCCCCCCCCCCCCAGAAAAAAATCTAAAATTTAAAACGAATTTCCTGCAATTTCCTGCCTAAAATATAAAAAAAATTCACCAACACATAGGATGTACTTTTTTTTTACAATAATGTCTAATAGTGTATTGTATTACATTGCTCTGTTTTTTTCTTTTTCACCTTTTCTTGTTTCATTGTATGTCATGGCAGAGATTGGGGATTAATAAAGTACAATCATACACCACAATCTTATAAACATTAATTTATTTTATAGCAATATATTGGGGGGGGGGGGGACATTTTGAGCATATTTGAATATTGGGGGGGGGATGTGTCCACCCAAGAATATATTATGATAATTACGGCCTTGGTGAGATGCCATGGGCTGCGTTCTGCCACTTCGGGTGGAGTCGTCTGTCAAGGCTACAGGGGGGCGGTGGCGGTGGTGGGGGGGGGGGGTCCCCCTGGAACATGTTCTCCACGTTGCACGAACCCCGATTTGTCTGCGATTATTTGGTGGGCAGGTCACCAACGCGCAGTTGACCGGCGTGGTGAAGTATGGTCAAATCACTCTTCCGCGTGGCCCTCACCCAGCTGTGGGTAGTGCGTGGTGGTGCGTGGTAGTGCGTGGTAGTGCACACTACACCCCCCCCCCTACTAGAGGCAGCTCTAAAAAGCCTCACTCTAGTCTAGAGGATGTGTATTTGGCCTACTCTTCCACTCTGGCCAAGCGTCCTCGTCAGAGGCTGCGGGAGTGTCCCCCACGCTTGACCCGCCGCGTGCGGCAGCGTGCGGTGATCCCCGCGGGGCGCGGCCTCAGCTGCCACTCCGTGAGATCGAACCGGCCACGTCTGTGGAGCGGGTGTCGCTTACACGTCGATGGCTTCACCTGCACCGTGGTCCGACACGGAGACGTTGACCCCCTTCACGGCGAGACGGGGATTAGGGGACGTGGGTAGCGATGGGGATCAGGGTCGAGTCTGGGAGTTTGGGGGTAGGGGCATTGCGAGTCATAGCGGGTAGTGAATTGCAGTTGGGGATATAGGGGGTAGTGATAGGGGTTGGGGTAGTGTTAGGTGTGGGGTAGTGATAGGGGTTGGGGTAGTGATAGGGGTTGGGGTAGTGATAGGGGTTGGGGTAGTGATAGGGGTTGGGGTAGTGATAGGGGTTGGGGTAGTGATAGGGGTTGGGGTAGTGATAGGGGTTGGGGTGGTGATAGGGGTTGGGGTAGTGATAGGGGTTGGGGTGGTGATAGGGGTTGGGGTAGTGATAGGGGTTGGGGTAGTGATAGGGGTTGGGGTAGTGATAGGGGTTGTGGTAGGGGTAGTGATAGGGGTTGGGGTAGTGATAGGGGTTGGGGTAGTGATAGGGGTGGGGTAGTGATAGGGGTAGTGATAGGGGTTGGGGTAGTGATAGGGGTTGGGGTAGTGATAGGGATTGGGGTAGTGATAGGGGTTGGGGTGGTGATAGGGGTTGGGGTGGTGATAGGGGTAGTGATAGGGGTGGGGGTAGTGATAGGGGTTGGGGTAGTGATAGGGGTTGTGGTAGTGATAGGGGTTGGGTTGGTGATAGGGGTAGTGATAGGGGTTGGGGTAGTGATGGGGGTTGGGGTAGTGATAGGGGTTGGGGTAGTGATAGGGGTTGGGGTAGTGATAGGGGTTGGGGTAGTGATAGGGGTTGGGGTAGTGATAGGGGTTGGGGTAGTGATAGGGGTAGGGGTAGTGATAGGGGTAGGGGTAGTGATAGGGGTTGGGGTAGTGATAGGGGTTGGGGTAGTGATAGGGGTAGGGGTAGTGATAGGGGTTGGGGTAGTGATGGGGTTGGGGTTGTGATAGGGGCTGGGGTAGTGATAGGGGTAGGGGTAGTGATAGGGGTTGGAGTAGTGATAGGGGTTGGGGTAGTGATAGGGGTTGGGGTGGTGATAGGGGTTGGGGTAGTGATAGGGGTTGGGGTAGTGATGGGGTTGGGGTTGTGATAGGGGCTGGGGTAGTGATAGGGGTAGGGGTAGTGATCGGGGTTGGGGTAGTGATGGGGGTTGGGGTAGTGATAGGGGTTGGGGTTGTGATAGGGGCTGGGGTAGTGATAGGGGTAGGGGTAGTGATCGGGGTTGGGGTAGTGATGGGGGTTGGGGTAGTGATAGGGGTTGGGGTAGTGATAGGGGTTGGGGTAGTGATAGGGGTTGGGGTGGTGATAGGGGTAGGGGTAGTGATAGGGGTTGGGGTAGTGATGGGGTTGGGGTTGTGATAGGGGCTGGGGTAGTGATAGGGGTAGGGGTAGTGATAGGGGTTGGAGTAGTGATAGGGGTTGGGGTAGTGATAGGGGTTGGGGTAGTGATAGGGGTTGGAGTAGTGATAGGGGTTGGGGTAGTGATAGGGGTAGCGATAGGGGTTGGGGTAGTGATAGGGGTTGGGGTAGTGATAGGGGTTGGGGTAGTGATAGGGGTTGGGGTAGTGATAGGGTTGGGGTAGTGATAGGGGTTGGGGTAGTGATAGGGGTTGGGGTAGTGATAGGGGTAGCGATAGGGGTTGGGGTAGTGATAGGGGTTGGGGTAGTGATAGGGGTTGGGGTAGTGATAGGGGTAGTGATAGGGGTTGGGGTAGTGATAGGGGTTGGGGTAGTGATAGGGTTGGGGTAGTGATAGGGGTTGGGGTAGTGATAGGGGTAGTGATAGGGGTTGGAGGTAGTGATAGGGGTTGGAGTAGTGATAGGGGTAGGGGTAGTGATAGGGGTTGGGGTAGTGATGGGGTTGGGGTTGTGATAGTGGCTGGGGTAGTGATAGGGGTAGGGGTAGTGATCGGGGTTGGGTAGTGATAGGGGTTGGGTAGTGATAGGGGCTGGGGTAGTGATAGGGGTTGGGGGTAGTGATAGGGTTTGGGGTAGTAATGGGGTTGGGGTTGTGATAGGGGCTGGGGTAGTGATAGGGGTTGGGGTAGTGATAGGGGTTTGGGGTTGTGATAGGGGCTGGGGTAGTGATAGGGGTAGGGGTAGTGATAGGGGTTGGGGTAGTGATAGGGGTTGGGGTAGTGATAGGGGCTGGGGTAGTGATAGGGGTTGGGGTAGTGATAGGGGTAGGATAGGGGTTGGGGTAGTGATAGGGGTTGGGGTAGTGATAGGGGTTGGGGTAGTGATAGGGGTTGGGGTAGTGATAGGGGTTGGAGTAGTGATAGGGGTTGGAGTAGTGATAGGGGTTGGGGTTGTGATAGGGGTTGGGGTAGTGATAGGGGTGGGGTAGTGATAGGGGTTGGGGTAGTGATAGGGGTAGCGATAGGGGTTGGGGTAGTGATAGGGGTTGGGGTAGTGATAGGGGTTGGGGTAGTGATAGGGGTTGGGGTAGTGATAGGGATGGGGGTAGTGATAGGGGTTGGGGTAGTGATAAGGGTTGGGGTAGTGATAGGGGTTGGGGTAGTGATAGGGGTTGGGGTAGTGATAAGGGTTGGGGTAGTGATAGGGGTTGGGGTAGTGATAGGGGTTGGGGTAGTGATAGGGTTTGGGGTAGTGATAGGGGTTGGGGTAGTGATAGGGGTTGGGGTAGTGATAGGGATGGGGGTAGTGATAGGGGTTGGGGTAGTGATAGGGGTAGCGATAGGGGTTGGGGTGGTGATAGGGGTTGGGGTAGTGATAGGGATGGGGGTAGTGATAGGGGTTGGGGTAGTGATAGGGGTTGGGGTTGTGATAGGGGTTGGGGTAGTGATAGGGGTTGGAGTAGTGATAGGGGTTGGGGTAGTGATAGGGGTTGGAGTAGTGATAGGGGTTGGGGTAGTGATAGGGGTTGGGGTAGTGATAGTGGTTGGGGTTGTGATAGGGGTGGGGTAGTGATAGGGGCTGGGGTAGTGATAGGGGTAGTGATAGGGGTAGTGATAGGGGTTGGGGTAGTGATAGGGGTTGTGGTAGTGATAGGGGTTGGGGTAGTGATAGGGGTTGGGGTAGTGATAGGGGTAGTGATAGGGGTTGGGGTAGTGATAGGGGTAGTGATAGGGGTTGTGGTAGTGATAGGGGTTGGGGTAGTGATAGGGATAGTGATAGGGGTAGTGATAGGGGTTGGGGTAGTGATAGGGGTTGGGGTAGTGATAGGGGTAGTGATATGGGTTGTGATAGGGGTTGGGGTGGTGATAGGGGTTGGGGTAGTGATAGGGGTTGGGGTAGTGATAGGGATAGGGGCTTTGTACGGTTAGGAACAGTTTTGGGAATTTTTTATTTGAGTTCGAGGACATGGGTTGTGTAAGGCGGTTGGATAAGGGACAGGGCTCGGAGCTTCGGATGTTATTTGGGAGCTTGGGGCTATTGTTAGGGCCGGAGTTATGTCTATCTATAGGGTTTAGCGGCTACGGATATGATTGCGACTTGGGTTTGAGTTCACGCTCTGGGTAAGGCTGTGTAACTCTGTTTAGCGCTGCAGCTACGTCTATCTATAGCAGTGGTTCTTAAACCTTCACTGCAGCCCTGCACCCCGTTTGTTTCTCAGTCGTTGCAAAAATGCTATCATGTGTATTAAAAACATAGAGGGTTTTGATGAAACAAAGTAAGTTGTTACGTAA